TAGGATCTAAAGAAAATTCAGGGTGTCCATCCTCGTGCCATTTTCTGTCCTCCCATGCCTTTGGGACTATTGCCAGGAATGAAAGGGAACTTTAAAACTGAAGTTTCTCTGGAAAGACACTTAAGGAAGATCCAAAGAACAAATAGGAGATATCCCTGTAGGTATAGAAATAGAATATATAAAATACACAGAAACTCTTGTTGACTCCCTTGTGCCACTGCTGCTCTTGATGATGTTGAGGTGAGAATTGTGTCCATATATTTATGCACTGGGGGGTCTCTGGGTGTTGCAGTTTCCCACAGCTTCTTACAACCAGATGTTTCCTTCTCTCCCAGCTGTTACGGTGGCCTCGGGCGCTCCTGTCTCGGTAAGAACTTGTCTTACTATAAAGGGGCTGGACTTGCTCCTCTGCATCCTCCTTCACCCCAGTGTTCCAGAGCATGAGTTCCCATGTGTGACCCAGAAGGAAGGGGTGGTGACACTGCCAGGAGACACGAAGGGGAATTAACTGGGTGTACTGGCACTCATTCTTGAAAAGCCTAGGAATTGCATCCCAAGTGCTGCTAGGAAGGCAGGATAAAACAGTGTTTCCAAAGCCTGCAGGCTTGGACAGGAGCAGCAGCAGATGGGCCAGTGCCCAGAAATAGGATTCAGGAAAAAAACCCAACAGATGTGTGACCCTGACAGGAGTTTGGCTGGGGTGGTTTTCCTGGGACAAACCTGTGGCTGTGCATCCATGTGCACACACCTTTCCCTTGCAGTGGCTGCCTGTCTCCTGCTCCAGCTCTCGGACACACTGGCACCTCAGCAGGTGATAGAGAGCCTCAGGAACCTGAGGGGATCCGGGGCCATCCAGACCATCAAGGTAACGGGGCTGCAGCAGGTGACACACGTGTCCAAACATGAGGGACAGCTCGGCCAGGCCCCTCCTGCCATTCCCAAAGGGATCCCTCTGTCTTTCCAACATGCTCCACAGCTGCTCCCTGGGGTTTGAGCTGTTCCCTGCTGAAGCTGCTGAACAGCTTCTCCCAGGGAACGAGCGACAGGACGAAAGGAAATGGCCTCAGGTTGTGCCAGGGGAGGCTTAGGTTGGATATTAAGGAAAATTTCCTCATGGAAAGGATTGTCCAGCCCTGGCACAGCTGCCCAAGTCAGTGGTGGAGTCCCCATCCCTGGAGGGATTCAAAAGCCATGTGGATGTGGCACTTGGGGACATGGGTCAGTGGAGGCTTTGGCAGTGCTGAGGGAACAGTTGGACTTGATGATCTTGGAGGGCTTTTCCAACCTAAATCATTCCATGATGCAAAATAAAGCAGCTTTGAATTCTGACACTGAGCTCCCACCTGTGAGGACCATGTTTTGCATTACCTTGGGCTCACATTGCCCTTGACGGGATCCAAGCCAAGATCCATGTAATCCGTGTCTGACAGTGAAAAATTCCAGAGGGTTGGATCAAGCACAAGAAGAACAAACCAGACTAGAGGGTGCAGTTTTCCTCCTGGGGTATCAAACAAATTTTTAAGAGGGGTGGTGCCTCCTCTGACAGCACAGAGCACTCACTGCAGACCTGGTTGTGCTTTTCCAGCAGTACAATTTCCTCCACGATTTCCGGGAGAACCTGGCTGCACACCTGGCAACGACGGGCACGGTGCCGAGATCGGCGTCGCGGTAGCTGGCACTGCCCTGGGCATCTCTGTCTGTGGAACACACGTGGATGAGGCACCTCTCCCCTGACCTTGACTTCCTCACTGCTCCTGCCTGGGGGACACAGCTGCTCCCTCCCAAATCCAGCTGTGAAACTTGGGGGTGGGGATGGAGATCCTGCAGGATGTGCAGCATCTCCCCCTCCTTGGTGACTTTAATACTCACTGCCTTAAAAATACATCTGCAAGTGTGGTTGTGCTCACTGCTGTTCTGGTGGCCTGCACGCCTGGCTTTCCATATAATAATCTGGATTCATGTTGGGATGACGGAGCTGGATAAAAATTACAACACTGGAGCCGTTTACAAACACTCTCAGCAAGGCCAGGCTGGAGGGCTCACCCCTTCTGAGCTGTAAGAACTCGTTCTAAAACGTCACATTTCCGCTCCCCGTGTTCAGGAGTATTTAGGAATGGGTCCCCTCATTCCACAAGTAGGAGGTGTTGCACCACAGATCTGTAACAAGCCAAACAGGTGGGTTTTTAGGTGGCTGCCGGGAAGAGACACTGCTGTAGCTGCGTGGGTGAGGCTCTGGCACAGCCCTTCTGCCTGCTGACAGCAGAGAAAGTAAACAAACAATCAGCTGTGAGCCGGAGAGGATCCCACAGGAACACTCCTCCAACAGTCCCCATCCCTCCTGTTCCACTATATCCACTCATGAAGGGAAGATGAACAGGCAGGTTTTGCTAAAACCTTGATTTTTTCAGGACCTTCCCAACTCAGAAGTTGTGACATGAGACTCCACCACAGCTCCGGTGGCTTTGAGTTGAAGGAGAACTGACTTGAATTTAAATTTCTCCCTTTAACATGTTTAAAACCAGACACCTGAGCGCAGGTTTAAAGGTGATTTCTACTGATTAATTAGTTTTTACTGCCATTCCCTTCTCCACTCCTCCAGTTTCCACTTAGAGAAAGTACTCTGCTCCAAATGTGCCCCGGTGTTTAATCCTTGCAGCTGATGGGTTTCAGATATTAAGTATTTATCGTATGACTCAGCAGGAAACTTGCTGACAGGGAGAGAAATGTTCTTTATTCTCTCCACAATCTTTTGCCTCCTGGAACTCCAAAACTAATGACAATCAGAAAAGCAATTCTATGTATGTATTATGTATTTTAATAGCTCTCAGGACTATTCTTCTTCCTTCAGGAAGAGGATTTGAAGTTACCACAGCCTGAGTTCTCTTAGTCCCAGTACATTATAAAAAGAGAAGAATTCAGAGCAGAGAGGAGGAAACTGCCACTCTGCATCCCCTGGGCACCCCAACTTGGTGTGGTAATAGCCTGGAAGAGGGAAAATTTGTGGAGGAGAAAGGACAGACCCAAAGCTACAGAAGGAATTCCAACCAGGAAGAGACCAAGCAGAATTCTCTGCTCTGACAGATCACTCGAAAATAACAGCATAAATAACATGGAAATAGGAGTTTAGGGGCACCAAATGAAATCTGGCAGAACTGCTGAACAAGTATGTTTAACAGTAATTAATTCCACTGCAGAACTCACTTTCTTGGGATTGCCCAGAGAAGCTGTGGCTGCCCCATCCCTGGAAGTGTTCAAGGCCAGGTTGGACAGGGCTTGGAGAAACCTGGGATAGTGGAAAGTTGGAACTGGATGGTCTTTAAGGTCCCTTCCAACCCAAACCATTCTGAGGTTCTGGGATCTTCCATACCAGGTTATAAAAGTGCTCAGAAAGCAACTGAACCGATGGCAGAGAAGCCCTTCAGGGCTGTTTGAGGTGCCAAAGCTCTCCCAGGACACCTGTAACACTCGAATTTCCAAACACACTCACTCCTCAGGCAGAGATGTTCAACACCTGCCCTGTCTCACACTGTTCTTCCTCAGCTGTTGCCACTGCCCAGCACACCAGTACTGGAGTACCTGGATTTCTGGTGGACCCCAGTGCAAACACTGGTACAACTTTTGTTGCCTCTGACACCCCAGAGACCCAAAGTGAACAAATACACCATTTATACAAAAGAAAAAGTTTTACTAGAACTGGGAAACTCTGCATTGTTCTCCAGCACAGGTAAATGAGAAAGACTCCTAATTATTACTCGTAAACTAAGCAGCTGTTTGCAGTCACAATTTACAATATTTATGTGAAACATCTTCCCCTGCCCCATCTACTATTTAAACTTCATGAAAAAAAGGCAGGAAATGAGAGCTTCCCTTTTCCAGACATTACTTGATTCCATGTTCTATTTTTAGAGGGAATGCAATTATCCATGTAAATCTGAGCGATGGACACAGCGAGGATCTACAAATTTAGAAACAAAACAAGGCACCAGATGAAAGGAGGTGTTGCTGAATTGGAGATTTGTTTTTTATTGTCATTTATTGCACTAAGGAACAGTGGGGCAGTTTCACAATCTCACTTTCTGCTTTGAGAAAGTCTGGAGTATTTATTCCTCTTAAACCCAAGAGTGTTTTCATTACTGGACTTGGTAAATGTTGGAGGTTTATCCATTTGTTAATCAGACAGCACAGACATTTAAAAAAAAAAATTATTTAAATTCATTCCTCCATGGACAATTCAGCTTCTCCTACCACAGTGACACAGGCTCAAGATTAAAGCAGGGCTAATGTTTGGAAGAGATACAGAAGGACCTGGACCATGCACAAAAAGGGAAAGACTAACCAGACAGAAAAAAAAACAACAAACCAACAAACCAAAATAGAACTATTTTTGCAACTGTGTCCATGAATTCATATCCTAAGACCAACGTCACCTACGGGCAAAACACAGCATTCCAGTCCTTCCCAAGCACTCGGAGCTACAGCTGATTTAGAGTTAAGAGTGGGATACACAAGTCCAAGTGAGCCACTACAAAGCCCAGCCTAAAGCAAATCCCTAGTTGTCCTAAGGCTAGTAGTAACCAACAGCTACTCGAAGGTTATGGCTGTTCCTTATGCAGTGCAAAGTCAAAACTTTCCAAACCCCAGTCACCTTTATATTAATTTACACGTAATTCTTTAATTTCAGCGTCCCAGGAAAATATAAGAAAACAGTCTTTCCACAAGTGTAAAATGTGGAAACATTTTAAAAATAGGGGAGTCATTGTTTTCTAATGCAATTGCGGTCGTCGGGTTCCGGATTTAATTCTTGGTCAGAGGTTCTTGTTGTAAAGAATCCATGGTTTTTTGTGGCTTTTGCATGCACTTAACTGGAACAAAGCTTGCTGAGTGTCTTCTTAAGAGCTCACCAGGACATAAATCATGCTGCAAAAGAAAATAAAACTATGAACATGCATCACTTTGATCAGTGTTACACATTTAATGTACATTCTAAGGAACAAGTTCATGTGAGATACATGGATTGTGACTGAAGATTTGACAGGATGACTCTTCTACTTCAACAAAATTCACATTTACATCAAATACTTTACTCTAAAAATATTCATGTTTCAGCTTCTTAATGGAAATGCTCTGAGGGTTTATTATATTATGCTTAAAAGAAAAGCTTGG